GACTTCAGCCTTTTATGACCCAGATTATTTCTAAACAGCAGTTCGCCGGGCTGCGAAGAAGGCAGATTCATGAAGCCAGCTTGATTGCTAATGAGTTAGTGGATAGTAGAATCAGAAGTGGAAGAAGTGGCCTTATCTTTAAACTTGATATTGAAAGGGCCTTTGACTCAGTTAACTGGGCATGTTTTTTCAAAATCTTGACAAATATGGGATCAAGCCCTCGCTTCCTGAAGTGGATTAAAGGACTGGTCACTTCTTCAAAGCTCTCGGTGATCGCGAATGGAGAAGCTGGTGGTTTCTTCGGGATGCAGCGGGGTCTCAAGCAAGGGGGCCCCCTGTCCCCGTTCTTGTTTAGTCTCGTCATGGATATTTTTTCCTTCATTATGCAACAGCTTCAAGATTCTGGTTTTATTGAAGGATTTTACATGAATGACTCGAATAGAGTGGCGGGTGTCAATCATCTTCTCTATGCTGATGACGTTATTGTGTTCAGTGATGTGAAGGAAGAGAATGTTCTCAATCTTGCTGCTTCTCTAATTTGGTTCCAGTGTATTACGAGCCTCAAGGTGAATTACAACAAAAGTCTTCTTTTCCCGGTCGGAGAGGTGGATAACATTGAGAGATTGGCTGAGATTTTGCGATGTGATTGGAAATTTCTTCATACGGATTATCTAGGGCTTCCCCTTGGAGCCCCTCCCTCTTCCCCCGCCATTTGGAACAAAACCATTGAGAAGGTGGAAAAACGACTTGTTGGGTGGAAAGGGAAATTTCTATTGGCGGCAGGATTGTTCTTTGTAATGCAGTGCTAGCCGCACAGCCTGTGTATGTGTTCAGTTTGTTCAATGCGCCTAGTGTGGTTTTAAAGAAGATGGAGAAACTCCATAGGGACTTTGTTTGGTCAGGTGTCCAAGGAGAGAACAAAATCCATTTGGTTTCGTGGGACATTTGTAAGCTCCCTAAAAAGCTTGGGGCATTGGGCATTGCTGATCTAAAATCTCGAAATCAGGCGCTTTTGTGCAAATGGCATTGGAGGTTCGCTCAAGAAAGAGATTCGTTGTGGCGTGAACTCATCGATTTGAAGTTTCCGAATGCCTCTTCGATATGGACTCCCGCTATTGTTCTCGGACCTGTTGGTACTAGTCTTTGGAGGCAGATCATGGAATTGAAGGATCTCTTCTGGAAGTATTCGCATGTTGATCCAGGATCGGGAGTTCATGTCTCCTTCTGGCACGATGTCTGGCTTAGAGACCATCCTAATCCCCTCGATATTGATTACCCGAGGGTTGCTGCTGTTGCCGAGGAACCAAACTGTCGAGTTACTGATGTGTTTCAATTCTCTTAGGGAGGTTCCTCCTGGGATCTCCCAATCATTCATAACTTGAGAGGGGGGACTGAGAGGTTGAATTTATTATCTTTCTTAACAATCTTCCCTCTGACATTATTTGTACAGGTCCTGCGTGGGTGTCTTGGGACCCCTCCTCAGCGGGAGGTTACAGTGCAAGGTCCATGTACTGCGAGCGTACCAAGTAGATTCCTAATTGAGACATCAACTTCCCCGCTAAAGTCGTATGGAAGTCCCTGTTTCCTGTGAAGGTTTATGTGTTCGTCTGGATCGCGTACCAGAAGAAAGTCCTCACACATGATTCCCTGAAGCGGAGAGGGTGGGCACTCCCTAGCATGTGCGTCCTGTGTAGGAATAGTAAAGAAACTCTTGACCATCTTTTCCTGTTTTGCCCCTTTAGCTGGGAGGTCTGGAGGATCATGGGGGCCTTTGTGAAGCTGGGAACTCTGAGAAGCGATCTGCCCTCTAGTTGGAGAGGAATGCTAGAACCTTTTGTGGGGGAGGGGGGGGGGGAGGGGGGGGGGTAGCTCGTCTACTCGTGGTGTGTGCACTGCGATTGCACGTTTGGTGTTTGATTGGCTCGTTTGTGCGAATAAGGTTGAAAGTCCTGTTGCGGATTCTTGGTTCCACCAGCTTAAATTTCTTCTTTTTTCCACCGCGCAGCCTGGAGCAGTCAACCTCGTCACCACAAGATTAAGCTTTTGTCTGTGGGTTGCTTTTGTTCCCTGTTCGTGATTGTCTGTATTTTCTTTGTCGGGGTCGGAAAGTTTCCTCCGTGCTTTTTTGGCCAGAGTTTCTTGTTGTTTCCCGTCACTCTTCTTTCTGTTATCTTTTCCGTTGTCTTTCTAGTAATACTTTATATTAATCCTATTTCACCATTATAAAAAAAAACTCAAGTTCATGATTAACTGAAAGAATATTTAGATTTAGACTTTGTGGTATTGAGATGTTCATAGATAGTTTAAAACTGATCCAAGGCCATGGATTGATATTGGTTACTTGATTGTGAGTTTGAGGAAGGTGTATAAAAAGTCATGGAAGTAGTTTGCAGCAAGTGAAGGCTGTGAAGAGGCAGTTGGTCAGGGTAGTGATTGAACCAAGGAGGGTATTGAAAGACATAGAAGCAAAATCGGAACAGTTGAAGAGAGAGAAGTGGTAGATGATCAGGATATTAATGAAAATGGAGAGGGTATTGAACGGCATGGAAGTGAACTGGATCAGGTGAAGGCAAAGAAGGAGGAGAAGAGCATATTGATGGAATTGAATATGAGTGTTGGTTTTACGAGCTTATTAAAACTGCCTCGAGGAAGATGAGTTGGCCAAATACAAGAAAGAGGATTGAGGAGTTGGAGATCAAACTGACAAGAAACTAATTGAAAGAGAAATTCAGGTTCATGGAGAGAAGGTCCATCAAAGTAGCATAAATAGAGTTGCAGAAGGAGGATTAGAAATTGAATTTTGTTTAAAACATATACGTTGAGAGATTGAAGATGGAGGGGATAAAAAGTTGGTTGTACAACGCAGAGTGGAAACTATTGGATCTTTAGGTGTTATGGTTGTTGCAACTACCACAACCTATGTTTATATTAAAACGAGGAATCATTGATTGATTTACTAAAGTTAAAGTCGATTCACTATTCAAACTACCGGAACCTGTAGATAAGGAGTGTCTAATTTTGTGCCTCCTTACTTTGATCGACTTTATTAGTATATTGGATGTAACTTTAATTTTGTCATTTGCTCTCAATTTTTGATGGTCTCCTTTTAATTGAGTTGTTAGCATATTATTTACTTGAATCAACAACTTTTCATTTATGTTTTTTTTTATAAATGCATTTCTTTTTTATTAGTGGCATGTTATTCATAGAGGAGAGCTTTGAACCATTTATGCGGGTTGTGAGTTTTCATTTCAGTTTCAAACTATCTATGGATCGTGCGGGAATTCCAATGAGCTTTTATATTATATATTTCTGGACAATCTATTAACCAATATCATTTTAATGGGGCTCAATTATCATTATGAACATGAGATTAATGATACATTTTTATATTCTTAAATGAGGAGGATATTTCCTTGAATGTTCGACCTATATATTCGTTCTTTATGTAGCATCTCGATTAAATGATTTTCAATAAATTTAAACGAATTAATAGCCTTAAACATAACATAAAATATGAATATTCCGGTCAACGGGACGGGTTATAAGCTAGTCCAGTAAAAAATAAAACAACCTGGGCTCAAGGCTTTCAAGGAGCAAGCAACCAAATGAACTGGACCTGACCTATTTGGGTTTTTGCTGTCTCCAATTCGATGAGCATCACAGTACAATTGTACAAAATAGATTGCAGAAACAGGGTCCCATTTATATACTTTGATATCTTTCGGATTTCGACATCTATTTCACTTTAGTGAAACCTAGGCATTAAGTGTAAAATCCTCAAATTTATAATGATATATATACCAATTAATTAATTAAACGGAATAATTTCACGACAAAGCTTCCGATGAAGAAATGGGAGAATGACACAAATATTGTGTTTTTTATTAAATTTACCACCAATATGGCGGATTAAAAATTATTGACAAGTATATTGTGTTTTGGAGAAAAAGTTAGGCGAGGCCACCTGAGACTGAGGCGTCACCACCTGAGACTCAGGTGAATAGGTGGGAAGAAAGTCCCAGGTGTTGGCGCCTGAGACTGAGGTGGTACCGCCTGAGACTGAGGTGGCACCGCGAAGAACAATCCTAATTCTAACCCTGAAACCCTAAACCCTAAACCCTGAACCTTAAACCAGCGAATTTCGTATCAGTTATTCACACCACAAATGGCTAATAGGTAAGAGACATATTTATTTTTTTAATTATATTATTCAAATGCTATTATGATTGTGTTTAGTTTAATTAGTGAGTTTTTCTGTAGTGATTTTAGAAGATTTGAACTAGTCGTTCGGTGGAAATCGGAGAAAGTAGAGGATAATTTGAGTGTCAAATTCGTTGGTGGTGGTAGTTTTCAGTTGACGGTTTTTCAAATGTAATAGTTGTGGTTTGTTGTTTTTCAAATAGTTGTTATGGTTTAAGAAGGTTGTTGTTTTTCAAATGTAGTAGTTGTTGTTCTTGGCCAAATTATAAAATGTCCGAGTTGTTGTTTGTTATTTGTTGTTCCGAATAGTTATCGCTAATAACATCATACATGAATGTAAAAATAGTTCAAGGAATATTCCAAAAACATAAATAATCCACATAATAGTCCACATAACACATAAATAGTCCACATACATATCCCAAATAATAATAACATAACAAAAATCCAAAAAGAACTCTAACGATGACCACCACGATGACCACCATGCTGATCCATGTCGAGGATGATCAGCCCCAGCATGATGATGGTAGGCCTAAACGGCTCAGGGTGCCAGTGAGGTGTGGTACCGACGGCCATCTAGTGGATCAGCATGGTGGTCGTCGTGGTGGTGATCGTTAGAGTTTTTGTTTTGTATTTTTGTTATGTTATTATTATTTGGGATATGTATGTGGACTATTTATGTGTTATGTGGACTATTATGTGGACTATTTATGTTTGTGGACTATTCCTTGAACTATTTTTACATTCATGTATGATGTATTAGCGATAACTATTCAGAACAACAAATAACAAACGACAACTCAGACATTTTATAATTTGGCCAAGAACAACAACTACTACATTTGAAAAAGGCAAAATACACCTCCATAGCCATAACTATCCACTTTTTGCTAATAATAGCCACTTTTTAAAAAATACACAGAAATAGCCATTCCGTCAAAAACTTTAACGGACTAGCTGCGAATGACTGGACTAACGATTATGGTTGACATGCCATGTTTTGATAAAAAAAAAAAAACTAACCGGGTGGAAATTAGCTATTTTTATTTATATAAAATTAAAAAGAAACACAAAGAGGAAGCGAAAGGTCTTCCCCTTCAACAGACCACCTCCTCTTCTCTTCACCTGAAAAAACCCTCCACCCACCATTGTTTCCGATCGACAAAGACCCTCCAATCAACACACCCTTTCGCCGGAGACCCTTCCTTCCTATAGCGCGTTCTCCCGGCGTCCATCCCACATCATTTCACCCAGTCATCCCCAATCTTCGACAAGAGTCCTCCCCGAAATTGATTCAAGAGACCACAAGAGCCTCGAGTTCCAGCGCCGTCATCGACAACGACCGATTCTATTCTCCGACCTCACCGTCTTGATCGATTCGGGAAGGGAAGGAGACGAAGCAACTAAGAAGTGAGACCGAGAGATTTGTTCAATTTGATTCTAGGGTTCGAGATGAGATTTGTTCTCTTTCTTGGATTTGATTTACTCGCGGTGGGTTTTTCAGTGGGGTTTCATCGATTTGACTTCCTTCGTGTGGGTTTTGTTTCGGGCAGAATCAAAAAGAGGTCTTAGAAGAAGAGGATTTGAGTGTTTGAGTTTGGGAAAGTGGACGAGGGAAAGGTTGCAGTTTCAACAACTTGGGTCGTCTTCTCTATGGAATTGGAAAACAAAGCAACGACAGCCCGTCGCCACAAAAGGACCCAGGAATCCGGCCGGAGAATGAGGAGCAAGGGTCGTCGGAGAAATATCTCGATGCACTGCTTCTTTGCCTGAACGAGATCCGTGCTCAGCAGCCCGTCACCACCGCAGCTTCAAGGAAGATGGGATTAGAGTTTTTTGGGTGAGAGATTTTATTTGTTGGGCGGCGATGGCGTAGAGATATATGATTTTTTTTTTTAATTTAAAATGTGACGTGTCGTACATGTGGTATGGAGTGATGAGGTGGACATGACGTGTGGTTTAGGTTGCATCCACGTTAGTTTAGCGTCCACTTAATTGACTGAGTAATTGACGGTGTTAAAGTATTTAACGAAAATGGCTAAATTTGACAAATAAGTTTTAAAATTATGGTTATATCTGTGTATTTTTCAAAAAGTGGCTATTATTGTCACAAACTCGATAATTGTGGCTATGCTAGTGTATTTTGCCTTTGAAAAACAACAACCTTCTTAAACCATAACAACTATTTGAAAAACAACAACTACTTCAAACCACAACTATTACATTTGAAAAACCGTCAACTGAAAAGTGAAAACTACCACCACCAACGAATTTGACGCCCAAATTATTCTCTACTTTCTCCGATTTCCACCAAACAACTAGTTCAAATCTTCTAAAATCACTACAGAAAAACTCACTAATTAAACTAAACACAATCATAATAGCATTTGAATAATATAATTAAAAAAATAAATATGTCTCTTACCTATTAGCCATTTGTGGTGTGAATAACTGATACGAAATTCGCTGGTTTAGGGTTCAGGGTTTCAGGTTAGAATTAGGATTGTTCTTCGCGGTACCACCTCAGTCTCAGGCGCCAACACCTGGGACTTTCTTCCCACCTATTCACCTGAATTTCAGGTGGTGACGCCTCAGTCTCAGGTGGCCTCGCCTAACTTTTTCTCCAAAACACAATATACTTGTTAATACTTTTTAATCCGCCATATTGATGATAAATTTAATAAAAAACACAATATTTGTGTCATTCTCCCCGAAGAAACAAAGTTCTCATAAGTTTGACTCCCACTACCATTAACAATCATAAGATAACATTAAGTACAGTAATTAAGTAGTAGAGCAAAAGGGAATGAGACAATAACAAAGGTAGATTTTATATATACAATTTTCAACTAAAATCCCAACTTTCTCCCCACAGTCAGTCAGCAGCACATTCACATTTGTCCACAATATTCAGAATTAAAAAAACCAAAAGTCTTCCCTCCAGCTCACCCTGCCCGTACATATTTCTTTATATATAATATTCTTATTATTATAATATATATATCTACATACTATAAACTCTTCTCTTCTCTTCTCTTCTACTAGTAAGTAATAACGCTAGTGAGACAGAGAAGAGTAAACAAAAGGGGGAAGAAGATGGACATCCCAGAAGGGAAGAGGGGAAAATCTGGTTAGCATTGAGATGTGACCTTCAAACTCAACATCTCAAAATGATAGTATCTTTGTGGTTCATCATTTGCATACCGTCTTCAATCGCTTTGCTGCTTGAACGAATCCTGCGATCACCTGCAACTCATCCATTTGCTTCACCACCAAAACCAAGACAAACACAACCCGCCGTTTCATTCAGATTCCTTGCGAGTTTTGATATAGAGAGATTAATGTAAATGGAGTAAGGTGTGGTGAACACTGTGATCTGTACCTGTGACATGAAGTGCCTTTGAACGACCTCGATTAGCTGCTCCTTCGACGGATTAGGGAAAGCATCCATCTGATTACACACCAAAAACAACACAACCTAATCAATCAATAAGGGTGTTCAAAGTACCATGGTAATCCATATTGGTACCAATGCCACTACGATTCAGTTAATCTGTTGACACGAATTACAGGATGTAAAACAGCTAGGGGTTTACCAGATTGAAGTGTCGCCAATATCTCCACAATGCGGCCATCTCCAGCTTGCTAAGGTCAACCTTCTGCAACCAAAGTCGAGGAATATTAAGAAACCAAGCTCAAGAAGCCAACCAGAGAAAGGTGAAAGAAGTAGTTTGACGTGTTACTAACCGCGGCAGCAGACCCATGAGGAGTAGAAACAGAACTCTTGGATTGTGAGTCACAAGATACAGATCTGCTGAAGGACTTGTGAGATGATCCTGATGACTTGTGCGTCCTATTATGACGCGATATCTGGGATTTCTGGGTATCATCAGATGCTAGAACATTGAACCCCCCCAAAAAGAACAGAATGGAAACGAATCAAAGGTTGGCAAAAATCATGGATCCACTTGAAACATAAAGGTAAAAGATGGTGATAATAAGACAATGGAGGTCTTGGCTAAAGTGAAAGCTTAAAAGGAGGAGACAACTTAATGGATCCTATGCACCAAACTCTTTTCTTTTTCTTCCCAATATTTTCCACTGACAACGACAAAAGCAGAGAGAGCTCAACATCACAGTGTTAAATGCTCGACCACTGAATTAGAATTGGGTCTCAATTACAGCAAAAAACCATACAAAGCAGGCTACTTGATTAGTATCTCTATCCCTCGATGCAGAGCTGTTCATTAGCTGGCGAAAAGTGATGAACTAAGGCTGAACAAAACTGAACCAATTAAGGTAACAAGCATTCTGTTAATGGAAAAACTTACTCATCTCTGAAACATTCCACTGCACGGTCTCGAATTCGAGATCTTCGTCATCTTCATTACCAGTTGGATGCTCCAGCACACTAAGAGCATTCCTCTGCAGCTTCACTTCTATGCCATTAGTCAGAACCTGGTGAAAATTTTCACAGAAAAAACCTTCTCAGATGAATCAAAATTCCAAATTAGTTCAAATTACAGCTGAAAGAAGGCACAAAGTCGGCTGCAGTAGTTTGCTTGGTTGTACAACATCACACCCAGATATTATGAACCTGCCTAAAGCGGATAAAAAGATAAGTTTTTTTTTTTATGAAGCCGCAGGACAAACATGTTTCCCTCTCCCATGTGCAGAGCTCTGAGAAGAGTTTTTTTTTTTTACAAATGTAAAAAGGGGGATTTTTTCCAAAATAAACGAGACGCCATGAGCGAGACCAAGCTGAGGATAATGATACTTTCCTCATGCAAGGTCAAAACTGGACCAAATCCTAATGGAACCCAATTAAAAAGATCCAATCTTATCAAACTAAAAGCTAGAGACAAACTACCCAGGAATCAATGGAAAAGATAAGTTCATCACCCAACTTCCACCATGCAACCCACCAACAAAACCCAACAACCAAAAAGCAATCTAACAATAGAAGATCAATCAAAATGTCATCTGTCAATCCCACAGTAATGAACCACCAGATCCACTTGTGAAGATTGCAGATTGAAATCAGGACTGATCGCTCAAAACCCAGAATTGAAACCTAACTTTTTGTGCACAACAGAGATTAATTCATGCAAAATTTAGGAATGAAACCAATTGGACCCAATCCATATTCCCCCAATAAAGGAAATCAGAAATGTTCTAGGGAGGAAAGTTATCTTATCTAAACCTATAATTTATTCATTTAATCAATAACCCCCCAATACATTAATGCAGAAAAGAAAGCCCCAGTGATTAACCATCAGATTGAAACGAAATTTATCATCACACTAATCCACAACCCCACAAAAATTTTGACCCGCATTGTCCAACCAAGACTCTCATAAACCCACACTCAATTCAATCCAATCCAATCCAATAACTTCCAAACCCAAAAGCAAAAAGAATTCACAAACCACACCCAATTCAAGCCAAACCCACAAAACCCATTTGCCAGAAAGGTCGAAAGAGAGAGACTGACCAGCCAATGCCAACCGCCGAGACCAACAGCCTTCTTGACAACGCCTTCCAGCCCCACAAGCACCGATTTGGTCCGGTTATTCCCAGTCACCACCACTTTAGTGTGGCGCGGCAGCACGGAGAGCTCCTCCTCGCTGCTGTCCCCGCAGCTCTGAAACTGCGAGAACCCTCCTCCTCCTCTGTAGCCGCCGTTCACCGAACTCTCCATTGCCTCCAGCATTTTTTAACCACCCCTGTTTTTCTATTCACACTCTGTATTCCTCTTTTCTCACTAAAAAAGTAACTCCCCAATTTCACAACATCAGGACCCGAAACCACAACCGGAATGGAGATCGCGCATTGCCGATTGCGGTTCCTTCGGTTGGAGAGATCGGAAGAGGGAAGAATTCGAGTGATCAGTGGTGGTTTCTTTGCCGGGAGAAAACCCCACCAAGCACCCGAAAAAAATGATGAAGAGTGCTCTGCTTTGCTGCTGCTCTTTTTTTCTTCTTCTTCTATGAGAGAGAGAAATGGTGAGAGAGTGTGACTGGTTTTTCCTTAATGGCAGTGTAGGCTATGGATCCCGACGACTGCCAACACACCAATTGGATAACGCCACGTCATCGGAGAGAGAAAGAGAGAGGCAAGTATTCGTGGAGGTTAAAGTTGGCAAAAGAAAGAAACCACCAGCGGTTTTTTTTTTCTTACTCCAAAGCTCCTTTTCTTTTCTACAACGGAAATTAATTAATTAATTAATTAATTAATTAAGCTGCTCTGTTTGACAATTGACCATGGTCCATGGTCGAGAAGAAGAAACGGTGTTGCCAGGTGAAGACAATCAAATTACATATCTATCCTTTCTGGATTAGGGCTTCAAGATGGCGCAAATTTACTTATCCCAAACCCATTGTCGTAATTTTGCACTACAGGTGGTAAACGGAACGCTGTAACGGAAGTCGGCGAGTGGGGCCCGGCAACGCGTGATGGCCGGAAGCGGGAAACGGCGTTGTCTCTGTCCTCCGGGGGGAAAAATCAATCCCGAAACTTATTAATTAAGGAAAATATAAGAAAAAAAAATAATAACTAGTGAAATAAATAATAGAAAAAGCAGTTGAGTCCTTTTCTTTTCCTACCAGTTTTTCCCGCCATTGCTGGGGGAATTTCCCGCGGACCGTCGAATGCCCTCTGCATCCTCCATCCGTTGGATCGGGATAGTGGGGGACCAGGGTAAGTTCGGCTGAGGCTTCGGCGCAGGATATAATCATTTTCAGGATATTATTTTATTATTATTGTTGGAAGCAAACATTAAAGAGGACAGATATGGAGGGAGAGAGAGAGAGAGAGGATAATGAATAATGGAGAAGAATGAAGGCCTTATAATATAATAATAAAAAAGGCATGTGGATGTCAGTGTCGGACGGGACAATATAATTGTGATTTGTTTATTATGCAGTGTACAATTAATTAATTAATCAATCAAATTTGCCAAAAAAAAAAAATAATCAATCAAATTGATCTATTTTTTTTTTGGTTAAGTTGTCCGATGAATTACTATTACTCATAATTTGTTAGCGAACTAACCACTTGGTCCCAATAACTCGAGTTGTTGGGAAAGGGATAGTTAAGCCTTTTAACCTCTTACACGCCCCCTCAAACGAAAGCCGATGCCGAATTGTGGATTTTTTACGGTTTGCACAGGTTGAAACCTTGTGCTGCCAAACCACGAGGCTTTAGTTTGCACAGGTTGGACATACCATCCCTTGTGCTAAACAAATGGCTGAAAATGGGGGTCGTCATGAGGATTCGATTTTTTACGGTTTGCACAGGTTGAAACCTTGTGCTGCCAAACCACGAGGCTTTAGTTTGCACAGGTTGGACATACCATCCCTTGTGCTAAACAAATGGCTGAAAATGGGGGTCGTCATGAGGATTCGAAACCATGACCTTTCGGTTCTAAGCTCTGATACCATGTTAGCGAACTAACCACTTGGTCCTAATAACTCGAGTCGTTGAGAAAGGGATAATTAAGCCTTTTAACTTCTTATATAATTAGCTACGATAATCTTTGCAGAGAAATTATTTTGGCCCAAATTATTGGATTAAGAACTGAAACAGCTAGAGAGATCACTAAAAAAAACTAGAGAGAGAGAGAGTAAGAGAGGGTACGGTCGAGGAATCGGGTAACAGCAGGGTAAGAAGGTCCGCGTGATAAGATAAAGGAAGACAAGACTACCAGTGGGCCGGGCTGGGCTGGGTTGGGCTCCATCCTTTAACTACCTTTTTGTTTGTTTCCCTCCCTCCCCTATTCTATTCTTGATTGCTTTCTATTGCCAAGTCAAGGAGAAATATAGGGCTTCAAATGATTGCAATGGTAATTGGTAAGTATCATATCAATACTAAATTTTAATAACCATAAAATACAATATCATAATCAAATCGTTCAAATTAAACCAATAGCTAAATTAAACAAATTACAGTTTAATCGGTTTGGTTAATTAGTTAATCAAAATAACCAATATACCATCACATTATCATTAAGTGATAAAAAAATTTGGTTAGTGTATCAATTTGCAATTTATATAATGAAAAGCACATAACCATCAACACATAATTATAGTTAACTCTTAACATAAATACATGTAAATAATACACTTATCACACATTTTGTCTATTGAGTGATTATGCAAAGTATTAAGTATGTATATATAATATATTAGATATACGACTAATTGCTTAACTGCTTAATTTGGTTTGATTGGTTAGGAGAGTTTGAAACCAAACCAAACAAGCTAAAAAATTTAACCAAACCAATTATCCAAATTAACCAAACCAAATTATCCGAACACTACTAGTTAAAATGGTTACCATGGTAACCACTCCGTTTGAACACCCCTAGAAATATACCACAGTATTTAAAAAACCTTGGACCAAATATAAGACCGTATATTTTAGTTCGGGTTGATGCTTTTTAGAATAATATGGTTTGATTCATGGTTTGTATTATAAAATGTATTGATATGTGCTTTATTAGGATCTAAATCACGATTTACCATATCGATACAACCAACTTTTCAGCATTTGTATGATTGTGGAGCAAGGACCAGGATACCGGACCGGCCGGTCAGACCGGAAAAACCGGAAACCGGAGGTAACCCGGCACAATAGGGCTGTGTACCCTTCAAAAACCTACTGGGCGGTATTTGCGGTTGGACCGCAATGGGCCGAAATTTCGGCCGGTTTAATTAAACCTGGCGGTCGCTTCATTTAATGCAAACGACGCCGTTTTGATGCAAAAAAAAAAACGGAAGGGAAGGGAAGCAGAGACGCAAAAAGCCAAAAACCCTACCTTCGGCCTCTCTGCCTCTCGTCGCCCTCGTCCAGCGCCGCTCTGTCTCTCGTCTCCCCGCGCCGCGCCGCTCTGCCTCTCAAACTCTACCAGAGATCAACACCACCGGTGACAGCGTCCTCCCCAGCAACCAAACACCACCGGCGACTCGTCCTCCCCAGCGATCGAAGGCATCGTCGTTCACAGCAGCGCCGCGCCGGAGGAGAAACCAAGAAAGAGGATTAGAGGTAGTGTTTTTTTTTTTTTGCTCCATCTCGTTCGTCTTTCTCCGCTAGCAATTTCCTCAATTTCAGACTCCACCTGTGCGTACCCAATTCAAGTCCCCTGACTCTGAAGCTTTGCTGATAAGATGGCTTTTTGAGATCAAGGTGAATAAATCAACGGGTGATTGGTTTGGGTCGAAAATTTCCATGTCAAAAGAGGGTTGACAACTGGGTTGGGTGTTCAAAGGCTCAAAGAACGAAGGGAAGTCGGATGGGAAAGGAGAGGCGGGAGGAAGGTTTTCGGTGTTAGCTTCTGGCGGTGGCAAATCTGGGGTTGGAGGTGGGTGAACTCGATTGGGGTGGAGGGGGAAGTATTAGCGGTGAGTAAGGTATTATGGCAAGGTGATTTTGTGGGCAAGGATCAGGAACTTTGGGAGGTTGGGCTCAAGAACAGTAGTACAAGTTTGATGAGTTGGTGGAAGGATTGGGCCAGGGCTGCACGAAATTGAGTCTGAAATTGAGGAAATTGGTGGTGGTAGTGTGGTTGATGCGTGATCAGGTGCAAACATTGGGCGGTATAATCCGGTTTTATTCCGGTATTTTCCCGGTATGGTACCCTAATTTTGTCGGTACGGTTTTTTAACAAAAAAATAATTTTTTTATTCCAAAAACGGTATTTGCCGGTAGGAAACGGTTGAACCATGGTTGTACCACAATTTACCATGCCAAAAACGATTCCGGTTTGATGTCCGGTACGGTTTCGTAATCCATGTTGTGGAGACATTCGGCCGGTGGGATAATAGAGGTTGCACAGTATTTATTAAATTTACAGGTTATTCATAGGGTTATATAGTTGTTGAAGTTGATTGCTTTCGCAGCAGTTTGCAGTTTGGTTGCGAGGGATTCAGGGAACTTTCTATAGCCACAAGTTGAAGAACTTATTGGCTTTCAGCCACAGTCATTTTTTGTTAAAATTTTGAGTTTAGGTTTTCAACTTTGCAAATCGCGTGAGCTCGTACTCAGTTTTCGGTGGACTATATCATCCTACTATCGTGTGAATAAAGGGAGTTATATCATTATTAACAATATATAACCCTTTCGAATAATGGAAAAAAATAGGTATTAAAATGTGTCTTTTCTTCTACTTCCAAGCTGTCATTACATAATAATTGTAATATGACATTTTGATTTCCCTGTCCAGAAATATGATCTGGAAGTTATGGCGTAGCCCGGCCCACCCACTCCAACCGCATACAAGACTAATTTCTCGTTTGATATAGTTTTGTTGCTGTTATGGTTGTATAGAGCCGCAACCAAGGTTGTCAACCCGTGGGTCGATCCACTTTGATTCTGACCCGGTGAGAAAAATGGGCCGTACGCACCCGTCCTGTCGACCGCTATAAGGTACCGGGTTGGAGGTCAAATTGTGCCATTTTTTCTTTGTTTTCCGAAATGCGCCTATTTTTTCGATTTTTCTTTTCGCCTAACTCAATCTTTGGAATCCTAAGTTGAACATTTGAATATTAATGTTATATAAGTGTGTGTGAATTTTCACTATATGTTGAATCTAAGTACGAAATGTTATTTTGGTGTAATATTATATGTTATAACTCATATGTTAGATGAGATTTGATATAATTTATCAGGATATGTACAATATAATGACACTTTTCATATTTCCGGGCTAAACCGGGCTAAAACGGGTGACCCATTAACCCTTGACCCACTAGCTCAACCGGGTCTGGGTCAACCCGCGGGTTGACAACCTTGGCCGCAACAATAGAGCCATATATGTACGACCATAGCAATATATGAAAATATAAAAGAGAAACCTATTTAGTTAGTAATTCTAAAATATTATGAGAGATTACGACGAGAAATTGAAACGCATTCAATTACTTATTTAATTAGACCTTGTTTAGTATCAATGTTGAGACCGATGCAGTCAAAGTCTAGCTCCTAGGTAGAAGTAAAATGATGATCAGTAAAAGCGAAATTTTTTACGCATCATGTAAATTTGATAGAAATCTTCTAACTATAACTTGTATTTTGTATAATACAAACAAATAAGTGAAGTAGCTCATATTTAAAAGATCACACTCACGCGCATAAACTACATGATTAGGCTCTTAAGAAGACACTCACCACCTTCGCGATGCATTCGGGGGAAATGAGAAGTACAAACCATTGCCAAATGATACACTTAGAAGAGTTGTCATCAAACTTCACTAATAAGTGAAAGTGTTGGCAAGTGGGAGGTTGAAAGAGAAGGACATTGATGGAAGCATATTTAGAGGGGTGTGACAGGAGTTGCGAAGATGTAGAGGATTGTCGTATCCAGTGCCAATGACCAAGGTGTTTTAGCAAGGGGAGCCACCTAAGACGAAGCGATACGCAACATTGCGGGGAACGGAGGGAGAGGACGCTCGCAATTGGACCCTGGATGTTGTATGTGATGGTTTAGAGGCCGTGAGAAGAGGAGAGTCGAGGAGAAGCGACGATGAATTAGGTATAAGAGATTCGTATAAAGAAAGGTTGAAAGGATAACCCAACTTTAAAAAAACAAATACAACTGCATCATCCCAGCAAAATTGACCTAAACCTGACCTAAAGTATAAAAATGGTTTAAAAGCTAACTTCTAAAACTTTTACTAGCAT